TCATTTGGTTGTGTGAGGAGGTAAGGTGTATCTACTTTTGCCTCCATCTTGGCCAAAAGTTTCTCCTAACTTTACATCTCAATGAGTTAGTTAAAGGGGGACTTCCAGCCAACATGGATAAAAACAATAAAATTTCAAAAAACAAAAATGAAGGAAACAATGTCCTTTGCAATTGCCACAAAACAAATAAAATACCTAGGACTAAACAATTAAAAAATGTGAAGGGCTTATACAATAAAAACTACAAGACATTGTTCAACAAAATTTTTTAAAAAGATACAAAGAGGCCTAGCTGGGTTGCTAAGTTGTTTAGAGTGTCATCCAAATATGCCAAGGTTGTGAGTTTGATCTTTGATCAGGGCACATAAAAGAGGAAGCCAGTGGGTTCATGGATGGGTGGAGAAACAGATGGATGTTACTCTCTTCCTCCCTACTCTCTCTAAATTCAACAAAAGGGATTTAAAAAAATAAGACATAAAGAAATAGAATGATATTTTGCATTCATGATTAGAAGAACCAACATAGTTAAAATGTCCATTTGACTTAAATAATATATAAATTTATTGCTATTCCCACCAAAATTACAATGACATATTTTTAAAGACAGAACAAAAAAATCATTAAATATGTATGAAGTCACAAAAGACCCAAATAGCCAAAAGCAATCCTGAGGAAAATACAAAAAGTCAGCTGTATCAACATTCTGACTTCAAATTATACTACAAAGCTACAGTAACCAAAACACTATGGTATTTCAGAAAACCAGACAGAGAAACAGAACAAGGATTAAGAGGCCTGAAATAAACCAACAGGTACATGTGTAACAAATATTAAATGAAGGGATTAAATAAATACAGTGAAGAAAAAAGCCTCTTAAATAAATGGTGTTGGGAAAATTGGAAAGACATACACCCCCAAAAAACCCTAAATTGTTACCTGTCACCATATACAAATATTAACTGAAAATGAATTACAGATGTGAATATAAGCCCTGAAATAATAAAATACATAGAAATAAACATAGGTACTAAACTTACAGACCATGGTCTCAGAGACGATTCTATGACCTTGACCCCATAGGCAAGTGTTGTAAAAGCAAAATCAAATGAATCAGCCTACATCAAATTTAAAAGTTCTGGACAGCCCTGACTGGTGTGGCTCAGTTGTTTGCATACTAGCCTATGAACCAAAGGGTCACCAATTCAATTCTTACTCAGGGCACATGCCTGGGTTGTACGTTCCCAGTGGGGGTGTGTGAGAAGCAACCACATACTGATATTTATTCTCTCCCACTCTTTCTCCCTCCTTTTTTTCTCTCTAAAAATAAATAAACCAAATCTTCTAAAAAAAAAAGTTCTGGACAGCCAAACAAGCTATCAATATACCAGAGAGGCAATCAACTGAATGGTTAAAGATATTTGCGAAGAATACTTCCAGTAAAGGGCTAATATCCAAAATATAGAAGAAACTCATACAGGGACTTCCGCCAAGATGGAGGCGGAAGCACTGCGCCTTCTTACACAACCAAGTTTAAAAACAACAAAGTTTTAGCAACAAAAATGCAGCCAAACCACAGAAAATTGAACTACACGGAAGTCTGCCAACAACGAACTCTTCAGCCAAACCGGTAAGAGGGGCAGAGCCAACAGCAGAGTGGGGTCAGTCAGGAAAGATCCACGAGACCAACCCAGGCGCGCAACCCAGGCGCGCAACCCAGGCGCGCAACCCAGGCGCGCAACCCAGGCGCGCAACCCAGGCGCGCAACCCAGGCGCGCAACCCAGGCGCGCAACCCAGGCGCACTGACAGCTGTAGGTGGATCCGAGGTGTAGAGTAGCAGGCAGACCCACTGAAAGCACAAGGCGGTGGACTCAGTGATGGCTGACCACAGTCACACATTTGAAGGAGCGAAGCAGTGAGACAGACCGTGCAGGCCCCAGTAGTGGAAAGTGGCAGAGGGGACCGCCATTGTCCCTCTCTGACCCCGCCCCCACATACAGCATCACAAACCAGCGACCTGGGTAGCCCCTCCCTGGTGAACAACTAAGGCTCTGCTCCTCATATGTAACAAGCACGAACAAATCAAAACATGGCTCAAGAACAACTCAGAGCCCAGAGCCCATAACTCTAAGCAATGAAGAAATAGTCAAACTTTCAGATGCACAATTCAAAACACTGGTGATCAGGATGCTCACAGAACTGGTAGATTATAGTCGCAAATTAGAGGAACATATGAAGGCTAAACTAATTGAAATGAAGGAAAAAATACAGGAAACCAATTGTAATGGAAAGGAAACTGGGGCCCAAATCAAAGCAGTGGACCAGAAGGAGGAAAAAAATGACCAAACAGAAAAGGATGAAGAAACAAGAATTCAAAAAAATGAGGAGAGACTTAGGAACCTCCAGGACATCTTTAAACGTTCCAACATCCGAATCATAGGGGTACCAGAAGGGGAAGAGGAACAGCCAAGAGTGGAAAATTTATTTGAACAAATAATTAAGGAGAATTTCCCCAATCTGGCAAAGGAAAGAGACTTCCAGGAAATCCAGGAAGCTCAGAGAGTCCCAAAGAAGTTGGACCCAAGAAGGAACACACCAAGGCACATCATCATTACATTAGCCAAGATTAAAATGAAGGAGAGAATCCTAGAAGCAGCAAGAGATAAGGGGACAGTCACCTACAAAGGAGTTCCCATCAGACTGTCAGCGGATTTCTCAAAAGAGACCTTATAAGCAAGAAGGAGCTGGAGAGAAGTATTCCAAGTCATGAAATCCAAAGACCTACAACCAAGATTGCTCTATCCAGCAAAGCTTTCATTTAGAATGAAAGGACACATAAGTGCTTCTCAGATAAGGTCAAGTTCAAGGAGTTCAGCATCACCAAGCCTTTATTATATGAAATGTTAAAGGGACTTACCTAAGAAAAAGAAGATAAAAAAGATGAACAGTGAAACGACAGCAAACTCAGTTACTAAGAACCACACCTAAAACAAAAGCAAACTAAGAGGACAGCTAGTTCAGGAGCAGAACCATAGAAATGAAGATCACATGGAGGGTTAGCAGCAGGGGAATGGGAGGAGGAGAAGGGGGGAGAAGGTACAGAAAATAAGTAGCATAGATGGTAGGTAGAAAATAGATAGGGGAGGGCAAGAATAGTAGGGGAAATACAGAATCTAAAGAACTTGAGACACGTGGTCATAAACTAAAGAGGGAGAATGGTGGGGGAGGGGTATGTAGGGTGGAGGGAATGAAGGGGGGAATAGAACTGTAATGGCATAATCAATAAAATATATTAAAAAAGAAACTCATACAATACAAAACATCAAACATACAAACAATCGTATAACAAATTTTAGAAGAAAAACCAAGCAGACATTTTTCACCCAAATACATACAAATGGCCAACAGATACTTGAAAAGGTGCTGCACTTTTCTAGCTATAGAGAAAAATGGAAATCAAAACCACAAATAGATACCACCCCATATGTTAGAATGGTTATTATCCAAAAGAAAAAAAAGTTAGGAAGGATGTGAAGAAAAAGAGACCTAATACTAATGGTTGGAATAGAAAGTGGTACAACCACTATAGAAAACAAAGTATACATTTTTTCCAAAAATTAAGAATAATGCTGTCATGTAACTGAGATATCTTCCTCTTCTGTAATAAACAAAAAATTTTGAAAACAATTCAATATAAAAATATATGTATTATGATTGTGTTCATACACAATATATATCACAGCCAACACATAAAAATTTCCCAAATGTTCTTCAAGGAATAATTGTATAAAAAAGATGTGGTCTAGCCCTGGCTGGTGTAGCTCAGTGGACTGAGCACAGGCCTGTGAACTGGAGGATCGCGGTTCGATTTCCAGTCAGGGCACATGTCTGGGTTGCAGGCAGGTTCCCTGCAGGCCAGTTCCCAGCAGAGGACACGTGAGAGGCAACCATACATTGAAATTTCCCTCCCTCTCTCCTTCCCTTCTCCTCTAAAGATAAATAAATAAATTTTTTTAAAAGATGTGGTCTCTGTGTGTGTGTATATATATATAATTGAATATTAATCAGCTGTGAGTAACTGTGACATACTGCTATTCGCAACGTTGATCAATTTTGAGTAATCAATAGAAAAAACTCTAACAAAAAAACAAGAACCATATGATTTCACTAATAAACAGACAGCAATAAACAAACGAAGTACAAAAAACAATGAAAAATAAGAGTGGTTACCAGATAAAAACCAGAGTGGAGGGGAAAGCAGAGGGTAAAGTGGGTCCAATATATGGTGACTGACAGAGACTAGATTTTGGGTGGTCAGTGCAGAATGCAATATACAGATCGTGTGTTATATTCAATAGAATTGTACTTTTGAAACATATATGTTATTAACCAATCACACTGCAATACATGGACCTGGGCTAGGATGATTCATTTAGTAAACAAAACAGGGAAATTAATAAGCCCTTCAGGACTCTTGGCACAATGACCAAAAAACCAAAAAGTCATGAGCCAGAAAGTTTACAAGCCTACAACTAATCAAATACATTTAAAGAAAGAAGAGGGAGCTACCATGACTCTAGGAAAAGATCTGCCTCAGCTGAGAGGTAATTTAAGTTTTGGTCCTGAGGATCACTTTTTTCAAACACAAGGGCGGGAGCTGGGTTGGGTGTATTGGTGAAGTCATGCTGCCATCTAGTGGTCACAGTTTCGCTGAGCCGGGACGAGGAGCTAGACCAGGAGCCTGGGGACCTTCTGTTTGTGGCCCCAGAAGTAGCCCGCAGAGGTGCCTGAGCCAGATGGTGGAAAGCGGAAAAAGCAACAGCAGCTCCAGCAGGGAGTCTGAAAAGCAGCTAGTGGGGACGGGGGTGCCAGGGCAGTGGGCTTGCGACTGAGATTCCTTTGGGCAGATTTTGGAAGCCCTGTCCCGTAGCCATAACAACGGCGGGGGATGGGGCGGAAGTTTGTATCTCTCCAGCCAGGCCCTCCGGCTATAGCGCCAGGACTGATGGGAAGTGTGGCCGTTTCGGGCCGTAGGAGGGAGGAATTGGGCTCGGGCCTTAGAGACCTTCTCCAGTTATTTTGCAGGCCGCTTCTTTAGTATCCCTGCTGCAAGCACAGACAACTTAAGGGGTTACCGGAGGGGAACACGAGAGGAGTGGAATGCAGAAGGTATAGTGGATCAGTTATATGGGGACAGAGAGAGACTAGATTTTGGGTGGTATGCCCACAACACAATAGAGAGATGATTTGTTACAGAATAGCACTTTTGAAAGTCATCTGATGTTATTAACCAACGTCACTCCAATAAATTAGAAAAAAAGAATGAGTGAATGAATAGTGGTGTAACAGTTCACTACTTTTCACTAGATACTTTGTTTTCACTAGATATAAAGGTTTTTAAACGTTAAGAATTTTAATAAACGTAATCAAAACAAGAATAAAATAATAGAGGAAATAACTGCATACAAAAAAGGAGACTCTGTTTCGACCCATAAAAATAGGTATTAGATATGGAGATGTATTTTTGAGGGAAAGAACATTAATTTTATCCTAAAGTGAGGCTCACTGTTTCAGAATGGGAAAAAACAAAACAAAACAGGACAGAAATCTGAACTACATAGTTACAAGAGGTCTGTGTAAAAGGGGTCTTGAGAAAGGACATTTTCTATGTGGCCAAGCTGGTGAGACTAAAATAAATTTGGCACTAGTGGAGTGGCTCAGTTGCTTAGAGCCAAATCTCAAGAGGTTGCAGGTTCTTCCAGTCACGGCACATACAAGAATCCACCAGTGAAAATAATCAGTAAGTGGAACAGCAAATTGGTGTTTCTCTCTCTCTTTCTAAAATCAATGGAATAAAAAAAAACTTAAGGAATACTGAAAAGAATTTACTCGTGGGAGAGAACTTAAATCTCAAAAGTAAAATGATGCAAAATTAGATGAGGGTTTTCTCTGCTATAAAGGACGATTGGTCTGCTACTGAAGCTGTGAAAAACTTTTCTGCCTCCAAAGAAAAGATTGTGTTTTATTAAAATAAGTTTCTATGTTTTATGTTGTCTTAATCAGATCCTTGATTACTTAAGAAAACTGAATGACCTCAATAGTAAGACCTAAGTTTTGCAACCAATTATATAAACATATATATATTTGTCTTTGAAATCTATTATTGTCTCCCTGGTTAAATGGATAATTAAGTATTGCTTCATAATGACCCATGATCCTGTTAAGTCAAATGCTCAAGCTTTCTGACACATTTTGACAGACTTCCAAAATTTAAATTATAAATAGAGTCTTGACCTGGGAATAACTTTGAGGTTTATTCTAGAGGGACTTCTGGAACACCTCAAAAGAAATGTTTTCTCTCCTTATACAAGAGAAATACTTAACTAGGTAGGCTTATTTTTGGTGTGTTATAATGGTGTGGGAAACACTGACAAATAAGAAACAACACTGAGTCTTCTTTATGTTGTTTTTGTGTAAGTCTGTTGTAAGTGTTCCAGAAATTCTGTGAAATTCCTGGAAATCTGAGATGTCCTGCACCAGGTGTCAGTCACCAAAACTGAGGGACACACTGAAAGGACTGAGACCCAAGTCTCACATTGCAGCACAAGAGGATGGAGTTCCATCTAGTTTGGCAAAACAAACTCCTCATTTGCCAGACCCTTGCCCTTCTGCTGTGCTGGAAACATGGCAATGGTCTGCTTCTGAAGCAGAGATATTAAGATGGGTAAACAAGGCCTATAAATTACATGAATAGTTGGGGGCATGAGAACCCCAAGATGGTCACTCGGTTCTTCCAGGATCCCTGGCTTTTTTTTTTTTTTTGCTTTTTGCATTTCTTTATCCACCTGAGTACAGGTAAGCTGGATTTCATTCAACAGCCACGAAGTTTGGATTATCAATATGTTCTTGTTGTGTGTGTGTTTTCTGGATAAGTTTAAGCTGTCCCCAGCCACGAGGCTGATGCCCTCACAATGGCGAAGAAATTGCTTCCTATTTGGGGTATACCTTCCACAACCTCTAGTGAGTTACACACCCACTTTACTGAACAAATCATATAAATCTTTTTTTTTTTTCAAATCATATAAATCTTGATGTACAGCTTTGCAGACTTCTTGGAATCATCACTGGCCCTATCACCCTCAATTGTCAGGCAGGGTCAGGAGAACTAAGTGGGAAAACTGGGTTCAGGCAGAACAAATCTAATTGCACAGGACTGAATGAACTGGTAGAAATGGTTACAATGTCCGGTTGAGTTTTCTGGTTTTTAAAAAATCTTTTTAATTTCAGATGAAAGGAAGCTTCTCTTAAAACTTCCATTGATTTAGCAATTTGGTAAATTACATCTGTGTGAGCAGCATTGAAACGTTTATTTTCTTCTCTCTGCCTGATCCCTCCAGAGTTTGGAATCTCTCCGTGACTATTATGAAAATATGTTTGTTTGCTTAAATTCAGTATGAATCTATTCTCTTTATAACAGGACAGAATTGGAAACCGGTTTTATTACCAAGGCTTTGACTGGAATGCCATGTATGACCAAGACACGCATAGACTCCGGTAATGACCACACAGTTTTAAGGAATTAAGACCGACTTATGGAAGCCAACAAAAACTCTTGAAAATATTGGCCTGGCAGCTTGTTCACACCATCACCAGCGGCCTCACCACGTGAGTAAAGAATATCACTTTTTGGCAGGTGCAGGCACCTCGGGATATTTTGGGAACCTGGAGAAGAGAGGAATCCACCCCAATCTATAGATATCGAAGGCATCATCTGACAGCAAGTCCTTGACTAGGATTTTCAAGCCTTCGGAGGCCTTTTTAAGTTCAGACTAAAGATTCCTTATGAAAAAATTTCAGAAAAGCAGATTTAAAAGAGTCTATGTGTTTAATTACTCTTCTCGCTGGGCTTATACAAATAATCAAGCCTAGTAAATGCACTAGACTTATGTTGCATATAAATTAGTCATAATTTTGCTATCTTTGATAAAAATGAGTGTGATTTTAAGAGAGAAAATTTGTTTGAATACAAAGGATGATATAACATTAGTGGGTATTATGTTCTAAGGTTGTTCATTCTGTTTTGAGGTTGTTGGTTTGTTTTTTTAATTTTTAAATTTTAATTTTAATTTTTTTTTAGTTGTCTACCTATGAACAGGACTGAATCCTGAACTTTTCTAGTGCTCTTAAATATTTGGCTGAGAACCTCCAAACCAACATGTTAATTCTTCCATCCTTTAACTTGGAATCATTGAGAACTAAAGCTACCCTTTTCCCCACCGAGGTCTTGCAAGCTAAAGTGGGACAAGTTGATGTTGGCTTTACAGAAATCACCACAATGGCTCATCTACTGACAGTCTTCAAGCCTGCTGCAGAAAGATCACCAGAGACTTGCAAGCTGCAGGCCAGGAGAATCTATCAGACTCTCACTGCCTGCCTTCACCACATCGAAACACAATTCTACATGGACATCTAGAAAACTCAAATGCCTGCTTTCAGAACTCAGAACCTGAGGAAGTCTGCTCCTATCATTACGCTTGGTTTTTCTTTTGTGTCCATAGAGATGCCTCATTATATATTTCACTGCTTGCACCAGAGGCTTAACTTTGGGAGTAACACTGCCTTCCGAGGTGAGACACAACTTCACCTGAACTGCATGGACTTTTCTCAGGACTGAGACTGAACAGTCCCTCAGCTCAGCCTTGAGTGTGAAACATCCAGGAAAGTTTTAGAGGAGAGAACTGTGGAAGTGCAGAACAAGTGACTCTGAGATGGGCCTGTGTGGTATGTGGATTGTTTAGAGCTGAAGACAACTTTAGCTATGGGCTCAAGAGAAACTTCTGTTCCTCATTTAATTATCTAGAAAAACTTGCATTAGGGGCTTTGCCCATAATAACACATCATCAGCCACAATCTTTTTGATGCACCTATATGGCAGGGCAAACTTCTATTTACTAAACATCAGCTCTCCTTAGCATCCTGCAATGACCCTTCAAAGACCCCAAAGGCCTGTGAACTCATCCCTAGCTTGAGATGTGTTACAGACTTTCCTTCCTGTGGAATCTCTGACTCTCATGTACAAGGGCTTCCCATGCGTATGTATGCCTTAAATTTTGTCATTTTGTTTTACTAATCTGTTTCATGTCTATTTCATTATTAGAACCTTGAATGTAAAGGAATGTTTCTGTGTCACCCACAATGTTATCTGGACTTACTGTGGCGATCAGTCTGCAATGTATACAAATATTGAATCATGATATTGTACAGCTTAATTAATTAATGTGATAGCATATGGCACTTATACCTCAATTAATAAAAATCTTTACAAACAAACAAACAAACAAAGAAAAAAGAAACAAGCTACAGACCTTGGCTAGAATAATTTGGGAATAAATTCAAATAATAATCTTGTCAAGGGTATGGTAAATCCTGTCAATGCAAGAAATCTACAAACCTGTAGAGAATGGTTACAAGAATTTATTTGAGCCAAAATGAGGACACAGGCCTGAGAGCAAGATCCGAAATGCTCAAGAGAGTAACAGTTTTTCAGCTTCTTTGATATGTTTGATGTTAAAAAGAAAATTTAGGAAAGATTGCAGGGAGGTGGGAGAAAGCAAGAGGGAGACTGGATGACAGGACAGTTAACAAGATTATGTGCTTTCTTGAGGGTAGTGTTGTGACTTATTTCCAAGCCCAGTTAACCTAGATGCACAGAAACAATGGACAAGGCTTGCTTGAGACAAAGGACAAACCATCCACTACAGAACAGGCCTGAGGTGTCAGTACCCACCTTGAGCTGCCCAGTTAGGAATTTAAGATCAGATTACCCTGTGAGGTTACTTTCCACAGTCCACATAGTCTATGCAGAATGACGTTGATATTGCACAATAAGATGAAACCCTTCCAAATGTTGTTTGTGAACAGCTGCTGATGAGTGGGGAAAATACTACCCCCAAAATGCTATCCGGTTTATAAGGCAATAGAAAGTACACTGGTGGTCACTTCTGAGTAGTGGAGTGGGCTATTTATCTTAAGTATTTGTTCTGAGTTCTCATCATTTGTATACTCAGTATCTTGACATTCACTTAATAAATAAAACTGGGAAATTAAAATAAGACCTACAGGACTCATGGCACAATGGCAAAAAAAAAAAAAAACAACCCAAAAAGTCATGTGCGAGGAAGTTTATAGGCCTGATACTAATCAAACACATTTAAGGAAACACGTGAGAGCATACCAAGACTCCTGAAAGATCTGCTTCAGATGAGAGGTGATTTAGGTTTTAAAGCTGAGTACCACTTTTTTTCAAACACAAGGGCGGGAGCTGGGTTGGGTGTATTGGTGAAGTCATGCTGCCATCTAGTGGCCACAGTTTCGCAGAGCCCGGACGAGGAGCTAGACCAGGAGCCTGGGGACCTTCTCTTTGTGGGCCCAGAGTAGCCCGCAGAGGTGCCTGAGCCAGATGGTGGAAAGCGGAAAAAGCTCCAGCAGCTCCAGCAGGGAGTCCGAAAAGCAGCTAGTGGGGACGGGGGTGCCAAGGCAGTGGGTTTGCGACTGAGAGTCCTTTGGGCAGACCTTGGAAGCCCTCCCTCGTAGCCTTAACATAACGGGGAGTTGCAGATGCCTTACCGCAAGGGCCGTTGCAGTGACTTGAGCGCCAGGGTTGCTGGGAAGTGTGGCCTTTCAGGGCGGGAAGAATTGGGTCCGCCCCTTAAAGGCCTTTCTCAGTTTAATTTTATAGGCCTACCCTCCCCCGCCTTTTTTTTTTTTTTTTTTTTTTGCTTCTGGTGTTGGCTGACATTACAGGGAAAAGGGTAAATGAGAAGGAAGAAAACGTTATTTTTTGGACCAGTTTTCAGAATCATGTTGTTAATTACAATTGCAAAGTAAATTAACAGATCATTTTACTCATATATCATATGCAAATCTAGGACACAGGCCTTGGTATTAACTGGACATGTTCCAAAATGGGTGGGATGGGCAAGGTTTCTAAAGCTAAAAGCCATAAGGAGCTCATGATCAAAGAGATGTATTTCTTAGGAAAATAAGATCATAAATGTACATTACTGCTTATTTGGTGGGGGCAGCTGGACCTTTTGTTACCAAACAAGAGGTCCGGGGGAGTGGCAATACAATATTTGGCCCACCTAGGTTTGCCGAAAACTGCTATACAACAGGGGCCCCTCCCAAAAACAAAATACTAATATCTACTGGGCTCTTCTGTCCGCCACCAATTGGAAAGACATCTCTCAATGGCAGAGATTTGTGAAAAGGAAACAAAATGTTTATTTAATGCTATTCAGGCCTAACGCCTCCACTAAAATATCAAAGTCCTTTAGGGTATACACCTACACCCGCACAGCTCTCCCTTCTCCCACTGTCCCAACTCCGGGTACCGTAAATCAGGAAAAGAGCACACGTCTGTGTTTCAGGCCGCTGGCACCGTCAGCTGTGTCACTGTACAGAAACTCGAGTTAATCCAAAGTACTGTGGTACCCTCTCACGGTCCACTGGCAAGAGTTCTTTGTACCCAGTTCCAGTCAAAGTCTCTTGCTTTCCAGGCCACTCGGCCAAAGGGGGCACCCCAAAGTTGCGTGGGCCTCTTCTACCAAAGCTGCAGGGGTTCTCACTCCACCAAAAGCACTTTGTCTTTCTTCTTCACCTGGCTGCAGGGACCTCCATTCTGGCAAAGCTGCGTGATTTTCCCATTCACCTGGACAGTTATCACCTCATGTCCTGGAGCCCATCTTTTCCAAGCACTCTCGCAGGCCTTCCCCCCCAGGGGGGCAGCCCCTAGTTCCATCCTGAGTCCCCAGCTACTCCCTTCTCCCTCTCCGGCTCAAAACTTGGCCACAACTATTGAACATATCTATGAAACCAGTTAAAGGTTATAGATATGTTCAATAATCATTCCAGAGGTTAGCTGCAAAACTGTTGCTATGCAAAACAGCTCTCAATGGCCCTGCTCTATTGGTCTCTTCCCCCTGGGGGGGGTGAGGACATCTTATATGTCTCTCCAATATTCCTATACACTTTGAATTCTGGACACCATTCCAAATCCTTTTTTGCCCCCCCCCGCCCCCCCCCCCCGCTGCACCCTGTATCACTTTGAATAGTTGGCTGACTCAATGAGTAGAAGTGCTGTTATGAGATGCAGATGATGTGTAACATATGATTAGGCATTTATCAGTATCCTAATTCTGGTTCATGCTTGTAGGACAAAAGTGTTTGGGTAATTATTAACAAAATGAAACAGCACAGAATTCTTGTTTTGCAGAAAGTTTCTTACTCTAAGGAGCAGAGTTAGAGGCTACTCTAAAGTAGCCAGAGTTCAAACTGCAAAATTCAAATGTTGGGCCACAAGTTGTAATATTAATGTTGTGATAATAAAGTCCTCGATGTAGAAAAGAAATACAAAAATGGACATTTTCAGTCTTGTCTGGACATTTCTGCTTATATGGATCTCCCAAGCCAGCTGTGTCATCTCTGCCTTCAAGATACTTGGCAGGAAGTTTCTGCTGTTCCTTTACTTTGGGGGTCTGGACTTGTGTGCTTCAGTGGAATAAACAGAAAGCCAATCAGCACTGGAACCCATTAAGGGTTGATTCATTAGCCCATTAATTCATTAAACAAATACTTGTTGAGCACCCATTATGTGCCAGACACAGTTCTCAGATTCTGAGGCCCCCAAGACAATTAAGAACACAAGGGGTCTATAAAACAAAGAGAAAGAACTCCTGGACATGGACAATAGTGATTTGGAGGTGCGGGGGGTGGGTGTGGGGACGACTTTGCCTGCAAGTCCCCCCATCTGCCATGGATAAAAGTTACACTACCAAGATATGATCTGCTTGAGGAGGAGAGGTGGCCAATTTCTCAGATGAAAGAGGCCAGGAGCCCCTTCCTCTAGAGGCTTTTATTGGGTTGTAATACAAAGGCATACAGGGCAGCAAGGATCAAACTGTAGATAACATTTCAAAGAAATCTGAGGGCTTAGTCTCAGTGTCTGTCAGGAAAGGGGGTTGCAGAAACTTTGGGAGACATACTCATTTCCTGCTCGGACCCTTAACATGAATGAAAGCACTCTTACCAAAGCAGGTTTCACAGGACTTTTAGAAATTCTTTCTTATGCCAGGTTTACCCCGGATACCACTCTAGCAAGGCAAGGAACTGTACCACCTCCCCCATCACAGGTTTTCAGGCTTAAGTGAATTAGAGCCAGGAAGCGCTACTCTCAGAGGACATGAGGTCTCAGGCTATGTCAGAATAGCTGGGGGTGCAAGGGTCCATTGCTCCCTCTTTGTTGAAGCCCCCCAAGTCCTTCCATGATGGCCTCCCAAGTGATTGTGTCTGGCTTAGGTTGCCCCTCCTCTGACTAGTCTTACCCGTCATCCACTATCCAACCATGCATTGGGGGCAGGGGACTAAGCTGAAGCAGCGTTTGCTACCAAAGACAAACTTTGTCTCTTTGTGGCTTGCATTCCAGAGGTCCCTCACTCAGCCTTAGCCATGAAGGAGTTACAACTCCTGAAACCAGGCAGACCAGTTCCCAACATCTTCCCCCTTTTATTTGCTAAATCAATTGTAGCTGTTAGGCCTGTGAAACCCACTATTTGCTGTTCTTGAATGTGATCATGGGAAAATAACTTCCATATACATCGTAAAGCACAAATAAAAATTAAAACAAGGAGGAAGCCAAGGGATGCCATAGCCCAAAGTTGTAAATTCAGTCTGTTGAAAAATGATACAAATGCATGGGAATGACAAAAGTAACAGGTCTGGTTACAACTCAATCTTTGGAAGAATTAGCACAGACTTCAGGAAGTTACTTTAAAGATGTGTAGCAAGGGCTTGTGCCTGAACTCAGGGTGAAGGAGTTTTATTACAAAGCATTATTAGAACCAGTAAACAACCAGTGGCTCCAATGACCCACATTATCAGATTAAGTCCATCAAACCAATGTTTGGGGTTCAGGTAGTCAAAATTGTCAGGGAGGGTCTGAAAAACCTCCTGCTTGGTTAAGTGTTGAATGTCCTACAGCTATTGATCTAATTGTAACTGCAATTTATTAATTTGTCCCTTTAAGTTGGTAGAAAAAGTCTCTCTTAGATGATGTTGAATACCACTCCAGGGAAATGACACACAGCTTGGAGAAGTCTGGATCGAGAGAGTCCAGTGGGTGGAGGTGGGTCTTCCTCAGGGAAGCCTTTTCTGTGATATGGCTTCGCCCTTTTTGCTGGCAGTTCCAAAGGTCATTCTGGAAAGCAAACACAAGCATACCCTTTTTCCCAAGTTAAGAGTTAAAATCTGAGGGTAAGGTGGTTTTGACTCTTCTGTCTGAAAATGTTTTACAGTTGG